GTAACTGTTTCGGTGCCTTTTTTTTTTTTTTTTGACGGCGCCGTGCATGCAAAAGCTTCCTCCTTTCTATCCCCCGCATCGCTCCCTCCCGCGCCTCCCTGCCCTTCTCCTTCCTTTTTCTCTCTCCCCGTAACTGTTTTTCCTTCTCCCTCTCTCTCTCCCGCCTTGTTTTCGCGCGCCCATTTTCCTTTCTTGATCGTTTGAATCTTGGACTCGTCTTGCGCCACCTCTCGCGCCTTTTCTCTTCTCACCCTCGAAGTCTGGCGCATGACGCCCGGTCGATCCCCCGATAACTCCCGCTCGCCAATCAGGTGCGTCGATCGATAGGACCTTCCTATCTCGCGACGAATCTGATTGGTTGAACCTTGAGTTATGAAGGATCAGCATGGCGTTCGTAGAGCACTCTTTTCAAAGTCTTCTCCTCCTGCTTCTTCTCTTACAGCTCAGCTTTCGTGTCGCCTTCTCCCCCTTCTATCTCCCCTGTCGCAACTATAAAACCCGCAAGCGTGTCCGCAAATCTCTCTTACGTTCTCGACTCTCAAGCCAGCTTCCGGGAAGCAGTGGCTAGGCAGAGTGTTTGAAGCGAATCGGAAAGTCCTGTCGGGCTGACGATAGACTGACCGGTTGCGCGTTGGATCGCCACAACGGACTGTGGGGTCTGGGTGAACCGTGTCGAGTTTACGACAGCGGGGTGACGATCGCAGTGGTGGGAGTTAGCACGCGACGGACGGGATCGTCGGTGCGGGTATGAGGATCGATGTTAAGTTGATTGGCCCGGGGCCATATTGGAATTAACGGTGAATGCACCTTTGTTGAGGATTGTTATCTTGGGCGTGAGTGTACGGCGGTGACGCCGAACTTTTCTCTTCCTGGATCTTGTCATCTTCTATTTTGGACTTTCTTTCCCTCGACTCTCTCTCTCTCTCTCTCTCTCTCTCTCTCTCTCTCTCTCTTTCTCCTTTTGAATGATGATACGTCTGAATGATTGTCCCTCTCTTGAATAAGAATGAGTTGGCATCCTGCTTCTGTGTTAAAGAACTTCTTCCGGAACTCTTCCATTAGTTTCCTAGGTGAACAATGAATGCGTGTGTATTGTGCAATGCGATCCATCTTTTCCTGTGCATGTCTCATTTTTGCACCTTCCACAGTGAATGCATGTATAGAGATGCATGACTTTTTCGATTTAATTAGACGAGTGTCTTCGGGATTTTGTTCGAAAATGCAAGAGTGTTTAGATTTGTAGCTCTGTTTGCACTACGCATGCCATTTGCCTTATGATGCACGACATCAGCAGCCGAGCCACGAGGCGGCCTTGAGAAGCAAGGCGCCCAGGGACCAACGTTGTGTTGAACTGATCGGACCCGTAGCCATACTGATCTGTGATTGTTTTCTCTCTCTTGTGTCAAAAAGATTGATTGGGGGATGTGCGAATCGCTTCTGTTCTTAATGACGTCTCATGATATTTTGTGGTTGATTGACATCTGGACTGACAAGTACCCTTCGATTGGGCGGCAACCTCCCGTATCTCCCATCCCAACACGACCTTTTCCTTACAGTGAGGAAAGGACACGTGTATGTGAGTGGGACGTACGAGAAGCCGTTGCACAAATCGGCGGGCAATATTACTTCCCTCCGGCCAACCGCTGTTCTCGGTTCGTAGAAGCCGGGTTTGCTATTATCGATATGCACTTCCCACCTTACTCGGTATTGTTGCCATTTAACGAGTTAATCGTCATTCCGTGGACGGCAGTAGAACCCCACTGGCCGCGCACTTTGTGCACCGAATACCAGCATTTTGAGCGTTACGAGTCCAGGGGTTTCCACTACCGTGTGCGGAGTGAAGACGAGCATAAACAAAGAGCCACGCGACTGAGGCCCTCCACGTCCGACTCGGAACTAACCAGCGAACGACGACGGGATTTGATATGAAAACGAGACACGCGAAGCGTGCCCAAGCCTTTCTGTTGGGCTGTAGCCCGGTGGGAGGCACGACAATACTTTTTGGATAGAATTTGACTCCTCTCTCTTTCCCGCCTTGCCCGCGCGCGCATTCTGCAACGCGCGTAACGATCGACTTGCTCCATCGGACCAACACGGAGGATTTCAGTTCCGTCTGTGTCCCCACACTCAATTTCCAAAAATCCTTGGCACACCCCATCTTGCTGTTTTTCTGGGCCTCTTTTCCGCACAGCTAACACTCCGAACGGAAGACAGCACAGGGCGTGTGGTTGCGCGTCACAGACATGTTTGTGGAGATGTGCTGTTGACGAAACTCAACCCCATCTGTGCACGTATCCACGAACACGACCAGATTGAATTTCAGGCATTGAGGACACTCAACCCTGCTAGTGGGACTTGGGCCCGGGACGCTGGACCCACTATCCCGCAGGTGCTGCTAGGTGTGCCAGGCGGGGTCATGAAAACTTCTCCAAGAAAAAGGGGAAGGCCGGGAAAACAAAACAAAACCAAAAAGAGGAGGCTAGGGGCTAGTAGATTTGGTTGGTTGTTGTGGACAGTGTATCGGCCTTCATTTGGTTTCGGAACTCATTTTAGTTTGATAGACTAAGTTCAGACTAAGCTACATGGGCTGATGAAGAATGTTGCCCCAGCGTAGGTCCTCGCCCAGCTCCACGTCACCGTGGCAAAATATGTAAGGGAAGCCGGGCCTGTTTTCCGGCTATTAAAAGAATGGTCATTTACAAAGAAGAAGAAGAAGAAGAAGAAGAAGAAGAAGAAGAATGTTGCCCCAGCAGCTTACAAATGAGAGAGGAAGTAATTTTTGCGTACTTAGTTCAGGGTAAAACTCACGGAGCCACTAGTAGCGGGCAATGAGAGTGTGACAAGGGGCAGTGGGAACGCTACTTGTAGGGAGGAAAGAGAGAACCGGCGAAGAGCAGACTTGTGGTGTATACATTGGGTGCCTCGTGGGAAACCCATCTCGGGGCATTCTCGGCAGCTCAGGCTCTTTACAGTGTTTCGGACAGAGAGAGATGTCATTGAGGAGATTGCCCTGGTGGAGTTGAGGGAAACATTCTGGGTGAGAGGATTTCAGCTGATATGTTTGAAGCTCTTCTGAGAAGGTTGCTGCAGTATTTTACAACTGAGAAGAGCGAAGTAAATTAGATTGGTTCAGGGTGAAATTCACGGAACTCCTAGTAGCGGTGCCACCTTCAACAGTGAGAGTGTGACAAGGGGCAGTGGGAACGCTACTGGTCGGATGGACAGAGAGAACCGGTGAAGAGCAGACTTGAGGTGTATCCATTGGGTGCGTGGTGGGAAACCCGTCTCGGCAGCTCAGGCTGTTTATAGTATCTTGGACAGTGAGAGATGAGAGGATCACTCTGGTCCTAGAGCTGTTAGTAGTAGATTAGGTTGGTCGTGTACCCTATCTGGGAGTTCATTTCATTTTGCTAGTTCAGCTTCCCCTCCTTTCTTCTTCTGAAGGTGGCTGTGCTTATAAGGCATGCAGGACCCGTTTCCTGCATAGCCTAAGCTGGGTATTGGCCCCAGTATGTTACTCCGCATTTCCTGAATTGTGCGGTCCCCGGCCTCAACTATGATTTTTGCAATATAAAATTCATTTTTCATATAAAAATTAGAAAAAAATAAAAAACCCAAAAAATACAGAACGGTGTCTCCCGACGGGAGGACGATCCTACCACGGCGCTAATAATAATGAGTGGAGCCGCCGCAGCGCTGTTACCAGGAGCAAGGTCCCACTTGCGCGGATTAAGAGATTCTGGCCGTTGATCTTTGCTATCTACGGCCAATATTGCTTAATCCGTGTAAGTGGGACCTAGCCCCAGCACACACAAACACACCGCGTGGTTGTGCCCACCGAGGCATCGCGCCTCGAGCGGCCAGCGAGTTGGGAGGAGGTATAACACAGAGGGAGACCTGGGAGAGAGGGGTAAAGTGAAAAGAAAGGATGTTGGAGGGGTAAAGTGAAAAGAAAGGATGTTGGAGGGGTAAAGTGAAAAGAAAGGATGTTGGAAGTGCAGGTCAGCGTTTCCACAGAGCTATATCCCCCGGGGCTAGGTCCCACTTACACGAATTAAGAGATATTGACCGTCGATAGTGAAGATCAACGGCCAGAATCTCTTAATCCGTCCAAGTGGGACCTAGCCCCCGGAAAGCGCGGCCACACAGGCAACGGAACGTGTGTTGGGTGGCCGTACTGCCAGTCATGCATGTAAGTGTACTGAGCGTGTGGGCAGCGAATCTTCTTTCATGCCGTTGTTCGTGCATTCTTTGCAGTGCGCTGCACACCTATAATTTTTATCCACTTAAAAAAAAAAAAAAAAAAAAAAAAAAAACGAGGGACGACTCCTTTCTAGCTGATTCGCTACCGGTAGTGACGATTACGTCTGTATCCATGGCGTAGGCTATCTTTTTTTGACTCTTTTTGCGACTCCCGCGTAGTTTGCCCCTTTTCTTTGGGTTGTCTGGGTGCTGCCATGTGTATGGCGTAGGTCTCTTTGCCATGAGAACTCCTTCGCCGAATCTTCCACCTTGGCTGTCAGTTTTGGGCTACCCTACCCCTCTCTTCCCCCCTCCCCCTGCCACAGGCTGCCGGGCGTTTGACGCCGTCGATCGTTGGCTCGTTCGTCTGTGTTTGGGCCTCGCCGCCCCTATCACACTCTCACTCTCACAATCAAAATCACAATCACAATCACAACAACAAATGTGTAAAACAATGGAGAGCGCATCATCCCGTAGAACCTGGGAAGATGCACGGTGCGGCCATACAGCCTCGCCGCACTGCTCTCCACATGCACAAAAGACACAAAATATGGCGGTGTATCTTACTTTTTTTTTTTTTTTTTTTTTAATGTTCTACCGGACGATTCATTCTCATTTTGTGCATTTGGAGAGTAGTGCAGCGAGGCCCATAGTTCAGTTTCCAACTTTCTGACTCTCTTTTTTGGTGAGCGGTGCGGCAGGGTCGCCGCATGTGCCGTCGCCGTGCTTGCCAGCCGACGTACGCCGTACGGTAGGCTTCGATTTTCTTTTGGTTTTCGCCTACCCCGGCTACCCGTAGTGCTCAGACTAGTGTACGTTATATTCCCCTCTATATCATTTCATTGCCCCGTGGGTTTTCAATCCGAAGGGCGCTCCCAGATACGTTATAACCCGGCAGACACAGATACATCACATACTTCACTGCTGCCGACGCGAAGCGCAAACGTCGGCCAGAGACCAAGCAAGCGCTGTTTGGCTCGGAGGAAGTCCGTGCGAGTGCGGAGGCGGTTCCATAACTGAGAGAGATTGCTGTCTTGGGCCTGCTTGTCTTTCCATCAAGCGGTAAGTAAGGCAGCACCATGATCCTTTTTCATTGCAGCTCACTTTCCGCTTAATTCCTTTCTTTTGGCTTTCCCTATGCTTCCCCCTACCGTTGCAACCCTTCCATCTCATGAGTGTGTGCGTGTGTGTGTGTGTGTGTGTGTGTGTGTGTGTGTGTGTGTGTGTGTGTGTGTGTGTGTGTGTGTGAGAGAGAGAGAGAGAGAGAGAG